GCGGGGGAGGGGGGGTGATCGTCCCGTTAATTGGTTCTATAAAATAGACGAGGTCTAAAATCAATCTAATTATTAATTGTCATAATCGGATCTGCCCCGATTATATTGGACATTCATAATTACCTAAACCACATAACCAAAACTAATAGGCAGTTTGGTTTTACCTCGAGTAGATCTGACCCATTGACAGATCTAATTTATAAACATATAATTTATAACCAAGTCTAGATCTCACTACTTAATTTTTGAGGAGATCGGCTTCAATGTTCACATTGTTCGTAGTCTTTTACTCCGTGCTTACAAAACTAATGCTCACACTGTTCGTACATTATGATATGCATTTATATGTTTTTTTCACGTGAAGATGTTCTCAATGCAAGGCTGTAAGATCGTGTGAATGATATATCAAAGAGTGGACGACAAGTCACTCTAAGCCTAAGTGCCCCGATGCCGAGTTGGTAACGACCTCGGTACCATGATAAAATAAGACTCAGTTGCTTTCTAAGCATATGGGTAGTTTGGGTAAATCTTATTTATGCCTTATCGGTGCATAGGCAGTTCAAGTCATATACCTTACTGTGCCTACTCACCTCGGCTCACAGTTACCTCGGGTTACCCCATATCGTGCCTAGCCATTCTAGAAGTTAGGCACCTCGGAAGAACCTACACTTGGAAATTTTTTTATGAAGTTGAATATTTAGAAAAATGTTGTATGTGAGGTGGCTAAAAGAGTAACTACATTTTCATTACTTCAAAAATGTCAATTTATACATAAAAAAAAGGTGAAAAACCTACTAAATCAAGCTCGGAGGCTCGGCTAGTGATGTTAATACAATGGGGATCCAAGAAAAGAGGCAAAAGTAATCACTTCAACGGTGTCCATAACTTCCCGGCAGCAACATCCTGGGCATCTTCTATAGCTTCCTTGTTGAGATCGTCATCATCTTACTCCTCGGAGTCTAGGTCTTCTTTGGCCTCAAGCAGCATCTCCATAGTGATGCCCACCGTGGTGACAGATCCAAGGTTGAGCTCAGGGAACTTTCGCCTTGCCATCCAGTGACAAAGTTTGAAGCCCTTTTAGAAGGCTGCAATACCGAGGTCCTCCCTAAGTTCATCAAATTTCGGCGAAGCCTTATATTTCTAGACAGCAAGAACCTCGGCATCCTTGATCTCCTGGGTGAGAGCAGCCTTGTGCTCAACAAAAGCGGCCCTCTGCTCCTCAGCTTCTTACATCAACCTCTCAACCTCCCTTCGTAGTTGTTCGTCTTTTGCTGCCAACTCGGCTTCTAACTTGTTGACGACCCCGACTGCCTTCTTCACCCTAGCCCGGTATCCCGTGGCCACCACCTCAGTAGTTTTCACCTTCGCAGCTTGTTGCTCAGACTGCTTCATGAGCGCATGAACTATGGAATTGGTCTGCAAAAGAAGCAAATTTTACTAAGTACTAGAGAACATCCAAGCGACAACATAGTAATGAGATTGAAAACATACTACCATGAGATAGCACAGTGCCTTCGCACCCAATTCAGGAGTTCTACTGTTTGGCAAGCTGGGAGATCTCCTCGGAAAAATGGCCTCCGTGCTCTTTTTGAGGCTGACTCGAAAGTCCATGATAATTCAGTTCTCCTTGGGGCCCTCACCTGAAGAGTCGGCCCCGAGATGACTGGATCGAGGCTTAGAAGGTCGGGCCACCTCGGGATGACGAGCCGGTGACCTCCTCTCTTGGTCCTCCTCGACCAAGTTGATAACTGGAACCTCCTCAGCTTTAGCAAGGGTAGCAGGCTCGACAGTTGGTTCCTGGGAAGAATCACCTTGGAGTGTCTTCCTCTTTCTCTTCTTCATGTCGGATAAGAACCGAGTCATTGGAAGGTCAGACATGATGCCTTCAGAAGACGAGTAGAAGATCAATCAAAGTAATATAAAAGAAAGTAGCATGAAAAGACAAAGTACCCGCGCCCGAAGTGATGACCTACCCGGGGGACTCAACCCAGCCTTAACGAGCTTCTCCTCGGCCAAATAGTCCTTTAACTTTGGGCCAAACTTCGCCAGGGAATGCATCTTTTTCTTCATCTTCCTATCCAATCGATCCTCGGGGTTATTGATGCCATTCCTCCAGTGTGTTGGGAAAGGCCACCCGTCATCAACAACAATCATGAAGTATCTCCTCTTCCAGGCTAGGACCTTCGAGGGATACTCATGAAGGAGGTCGGTATGATATATAATAACTAAACTTGTTCATGCCCTTAGGACCAGTTGGATTCTGTTTAATGGAGCACAGCGAGTTGAAAGTATCTAAGTCTAAGGGGAGGTTGAAGTCATGAAAAAGAGAGATGGTACTGACCAGGGTTCAAACCGAGTTTGGGTGGAGTTGATCGATGGTGATGTCGAATTAAAACCTCAATGGTAAAAGGGTGAAGTGGAAAGTGAAGCCCAGCAATTAGGTGCTCTGCAAAGATGGTTATCTCCTTGTGCTCGTGTTCCTAAGGAAAACCCTCCAGGGGAAGGCAGTAACCATAGTGGTTAGGGAATTTGTACCAAGCAACCAAATCACGGATCTGCTCAACGGACATTGTGGAAGGGCTGAAGCTATCTGGTTCTCTAGGTTGGCGTGCACGGTGTGTAGACGAAGCCTTCTTATAAGAAGCTCTTCGGTCCTGTACCGAGGTGCCCACCTCGGTCAGACCAGACGCCAGATCTTGAGCCCAAGTGCCCTCCTCGGCTCGATTAGACCCCGTACTCTCTTCGCCAAACAAACTACCACTACTAGACATGACGAAAATGAAGACGAAGGAAAAACTGGAGCAAAGGAAGACGACTTATCTAAAAAGAAGGAGACCGACCTGGAGATTCCAAAGTTAGCATGCGACCTCCAGAATGCGAGAGTTCAAATCAAGACAAAGAAAATGGGACCCCAAGGCCCCTATTTATAGACGTTGTAGCCGATCACGGACAACTTAGATCAACCGGATCCACAATTCCCATGAGGGCGCTCGCTCGACTTTCGAGGTCGAAATTGGTTGAGCGCATGTTTGATGTCTGTGGAATTTATAATCCGAGTGACGTCCACACATTCCCAAGACGCGATCTAGCTCTAAGGTTGAGCCAGTTGGGTCGTTTAGGTATGACTCGTTGACCGAACCTCAGCCAAATTAGAGACTAGGCCAAATCCACCCAGGCTTGTCGTGAACTCCCACACCGGGTCAAGTACCCCTAGCACGGGAGTGAAGGGAAATTGATGAAAGGTAATTTGGCCTGATCTATCAACACCCAGACACGTGGAAACAATCTGCTAACTGGATGATGATTCAACATTCCCTACCACCTCAACAGGCTAGGCCAGCTCGGGTACCTCAGGCACCTCGACCAAGACCGAGGTTCGAGTAGCTTGTGATGGCTCGACTTGCTAAGGTGACACGTAGCCAACTTCTAGAAGCTAGCCAGTTATCTTTGACCTCTCTGAGATCACACCACACATCCGCAAGCCTTATCCTTATTTCGCCCGGATCGGACGGACTCGATAAGCCTTATCAGCTCACACAAAGTCCACCTTCGAGTGCGGAATGAATTCCTAGTAGCATGGGCGGGGGATCTTGGAGGTGTTTCGTATGACCTACGACAGCTCACCTATATAAGGGCACCAACCCCAATGTTACAAGGTATGCGCGATTATTTGCTCACTAGCCTTCTAGCTTACAAGCCTTCAGCTCACATACAACTGCTGAATTAAGCATTGGACCACCCACATTGGGTCCTCTGAGCATTATTTTCTTGCAATTCGACCGACCAACTAAGCAGATCAGCGTCCGAAATGCCTTCCAGCTAGGAGCATTCAGATCTTGCACCATCAATTACCAAGTAAAAAAAACTATTTATTTTTGAGGAAAACATTAATGCTTCAAAGTGAACACAAAAGAAAATATCATTTTCAAGCGAGTTCTACGTTGACTGAATTGCTTTGTTCTTAAAGGTAAATGAACAGCTGGTTTTGTAGTTATTGTATTATTTTCAAAGTTAAAGATTTTTTTGCAAATACAACTTCATGGCGGTTCCTCTCACTCTTTTAGCCCATATAACGGCAAAAACCGCTTGTGAAAGCCCTCCTAAATGGGCACTCCTAAATAAAAGGGTTCAATCCATTCAATTTTTGAAAGCTTAAATCATATTTCATTCAATCAAGAAATTGGTACAAGTATAGAGAATTGACAGCAAGGCCAACCAAGAAAACTCATATATAATTTCTCTGAAAGAACAAAATATAAATAGTGTATGAAGGAAGAGCTTCTGCAACCAAACAAAAGGTGAAGTAAGAATCATCAACAGAAGTAGTAATCCTGCACATCTCCAACCACCAAAAGCGGAGAGAGAAAATGACAGGAGAGGTTCCCAAAAGAAATTGCAAAGTGTCGATAAAAGTACGGGTGGAGTAAAAACAGCAAAACCCCAAATGTTACAATCAAGATTCAAAGTATCGATACGTATCGACCCATATCAGCTGATACCACCCTCAGACCATGGTTCTGAGGGTAGCTAAGACTTAAACCGATCCCTTTGAACCGATTTTCAAAAATAAAAAATAAAACATAAAAAAAGCACCAACTAATGTATTGGCCTGTGTTGATATTTAGAACCTCGATTACAACTGCTACTAGAGATTATAACCACCATCAATAATTGCATCCGCCAGAGAACTACGAACAGAATTAACCATGGATGGCAAATGCAAATGAGAAACCATTGGCATTGATTGCCCAACACAAGATCAAAGAGAAAGCAATCC